AACTCCCCCCCCCCCCCCCTGTTTTTGTCGCAGGCCCCCGCGGCGGGGTACGAGGTCTTCAGCCCCGGCCAGCCGCCCGTTCTGTGCGTCAGCCTCGAGCTGCACCGATTCGCCAAGAGCGGCGTCACCGTGCTCCAGCAGCGGGGCGCCGTGCTGCCGGGAGAGGAACGCTCCTTCGCCGCGGAGCTCGTGGAGTGGGCGAGGGAGTCAGGCTTCAAGGTGTGGGCTTGGGTTTGTCGAGAAGTCAGGTGGTCGTCGGTGAGGTGTGAGTTTGGTGCTGGTGAGGTTGCGCTTGTGCGGTCGGCTGCTGTGAGGAGTGGTATTTGGTGCTTGATGCTGGCGGCTGTTAGGCGTGAATTGGCTGTCGGTAAGGGTAGTGCTTGTGTGGTACGGCGGCTGTGAGGTGTAAGTTGGGTGTCGGCACGTTGTTGGCGGCGGTGGGTGAGGTGTGGGCTTGTTGTCGGCAAGGTGGTTCGTGGGTGACCGGCGGGTGTGAAGTGGGAGCTTTGTTCAGGTAGTGGTGCTTGTGGTTCGCGGCTGTAAGGTGTGAGTGAATTGCCGGTTGTCCGTGTAAGGTAGTGCTTTTTGTTGGCGGCTGTTGAGAGTGAATCTCGCTTCGGGATGTGTGAGAGGGCGTCGTTGCCAACCTCGAAAATGCACGAGATGGCCTTATGGTACAATGAATGCGGTACAGTTTGTTTTCCTCCTAGGTTGTTGGGGCGTTGTTGTTGTCTTTGTCTTCCCACCACTACTCCTCTCCTTCGAAATACTCTGTTCTAGATAGCGCTACGTAGGGTAGCGCGTATCGTGCCGATTGGGTGTGCGGTCCGAGTTCGCCGTGAGGGAAATAGACGTTCGCGTTCCGTGGCAAATCCTCGAGCTTAATGATTTTGGTTATTGCCTCCTTCTACGATTGCCGCTTCTAGGACGTGCTTGCCCTGACCGGGGCAGACGCTGCTGAGGGGCTGGACCCGACTCCGATCGGACGAGGAGGGATGAAGCGATACCGCGCAGGAACATCCGCGGCGGCGTTGGCGGTGAGGACAGAGCCTAAGTACAACACACAGGTTAATCTAGACGTGACCCTGCAATTTATGGGCCTTTTGGCCGATCTTGGTGGGCCCCGCAACACCGGGGGAAAGCAAGCAGCAGTTCAGCGACAGCAACACCAATCCCAATCGGCAATAATTACACCGCATTCTGGAGAGGCTAAGAGTGTGGCCGGGTAAGCGATAGAGACGATTGCCCGGGTCGTCGAACACTCCCCTCTGCCTGATATATATCAATCTCTCCCACCGACCCTGATGGGCTGGCCTATGTCGTTCTAAGTCACCCCCCCCCCCCCCCCTCCCTTCCCCTACGACACCGGCAGCCGCAGTCTCCCGAACCTTGCCCACTGGAAGAGGCGCTATCGCGGGTGGGGATAGGGGCGTTCGACGTGGCGGGCGTCATGCAGGGAGGGTGGCAGAACTTGATGGCGGCACCAATGGGGGGTGGTGCTCTGGACGCCCCGGGGGGGGCGGCGGCTGGCGGTGTTGGCCTCGGAGCGGGGGGTGCGGGCGAGGAAGAGGAGGAGGAGTTGGCGCTAGCCATGGCGATGGCGGGGAATGAGGTACTGAGAGTGCTGGTGGAGTTGGGGTTGACGGTTCGTAGTTCGGTCACCGGCACGATTGATACGCTGCGGACGCGGCTTGTTTTCTCTGGCTTTCGTGCCCGTGAGGTGTTGTTTTTGTCTGTTGCTGTCGTTGTTGTCATGATGCAGCAGTAGTAGTAGCAGTAGTTGTTGTGTGCTGTCGTTCTTGTCGTTGTTTGTCACTCTCGGTCATGCCCGAAACCGAATCGAGGCGGCAAGAGATACGCCCCTTGCCCTTGTTCACGGTTCCATCATCCTCTCAGCCTGGACCAAGCGGTAGAACGTCGCGTACGTACACTAGTTGAATGTGGCTTTTTTGTTCTGGTGTTTTGTCTTTGTATTTTTTCGCAGACGGCGATGCCTCCAAACCTCCCCCCCTTACCTTCCGGCACCGGCGTGGCGGGTTTCCTGTGCACGGAGGCGTCGTCGACAAGAACAGCGGCAGACGGGGAAACGGAGGGGCCGACCCCCCCCCTGGTCGTGCTCCTTCGATTCTGCGGGGAGGGGGACAACACCCCGGAGGCGATCGAGATGGCGCAAGCTGTGAACGCCTCCTTGAAGCTGCTCCCGGGAGGAGGGGACGGGGAAGGTGCGTCCCCGGGTTAGGGCCTGCTGCTGCTGCTGCTGTCATCGCCGTTTTTTGTTTGTGCCCCGCGCCAAGATGAGCTTGCTGCGACACCTGTGTAGAAGCCGTTACAGACCGTTGCTCCATCGTTTGAGCGTGCAACCACACGTGGGCAGCGTAGACAAACACCACAGGCGTGATGATGACTCATGTGAGAGGGGGGTAGTGTAGTGTTGAGTTTGAAGACGTGCCACAGAAAACAATCTTGCAAGCCCCTTTGGGTCGAGCAATCGGCCCCTTTGAGTTCGTCGATTTGCACACCGTCGTGTACCCAAAAGTACCCACCCACCACCAACTACACCAACGTACCTGGTAGTTCATTTTTTTCACTGTGGAGGCAGCGGTCGTGCCACTTGTTTTTCAGTTTCCTCCTCTTCTTTCCGCTGTTTCCTTCGCGAATATATCGCTCGTCACTTCTCGTGCGAATCACTACAGGCGAAGCGGAGGTGCGATGGAGCTCTCCGCTCTCCTGGGCTTCTCTCTACGGCCTTCCCCCCTCTGCCGACGCCTACCAATAGGGTTTCCAACGGATCAGCCGGACGTCGAGAATCCAATTCCTTGCCGAATAGTGCGGAAGGGGAGGGGTCGTTGGGTAGAGGTTCTGGAACCATTTTCGATGCAGCGGCGACATAACCAACGGGAAAAAGTAGCAACGCTTCCTCCGAAAGCTTCCATTTGGAATAGCACACGTCCTATAGCCCTACTGCCCGACGAAGGTACAAGTAGCAGGTGCGAGACCATTTCTTGCCGTCTTGAGGCTGGCTTCTTGTGCCCGCTGCGACGTAGGGCTCAACTCTTTCAGGAGTAGATGGGACTTGTTTTCAAGACTGTGGAGTCTGATCGGGCCAAATTCGAGGTTCCGCGGCGGATCTGTTCAGGCTGTTCGAGGCGTGGAGACCGGGCTGGAGCAAGCGTGCGCGTATGCAAGCTAGGCAACAAAACACGGAGGCAGACACGTTCGGTTGTGGTGTAACGGGCGGCGTTGGCTTTCGCTTGATGCCGCTGGGCATGCTTACACAAAGTGTTCAAGGCGAAACACCACTCGCTCGAGTAAAATTCATCTCGTTGACCCGATTCTGTTCACGTCTCCTCGCTACCCCCCCCCATGTTTGTACCGGTCTCCCCTCTCCCACCATCTACACCTTTGCTTTCACCAAAGTTGGCACTTCTACAGTAGTAATAATCTCGCCCCTGAAAGCCGGCTGGACGTGGGCCATCATTTTGCATCCCGAACACGGTTCAGTAGGGCGAACAAGCCTCCTTACTTTGGTGCTCCTTGTCTTGAGACCAACAACACACTTCCAAGTAGAACCCAAAGCGTACGTACCAAAACGTTCCCTGCCGTTTGGTGGCAACTCTAAGTATGATGTGGGCTCATCCGTAAACGCTAAAGCTACTTTCCCTCCGAAAAACTAGCGGTTGGTTGTGTTTCTTCCTCGACGATACACAACACATGGTTCACACTTTTTTTGCGGCTGGGTGCGTCAAACGAACGCGCTGAAAACAGCATTACTTGTAGAAGCGATTTTTCAGCCCTTTTCCTTGGCATGTTTCATCCGTGTCATCTCGTTCGATAGATTCACCGTGACTCCGGTCTATTTCAGTGAGAGTAAGCGGCACCCGAAGAGAGCGAGCGGCCGGACGCCTCCCCACCACGCCCACTTCATCTCCTGCTCTGCCCCCTTATGTCTCGCCGAGGTGGTCGTAGTTAGATTACCACAAACGTTTGTGACTTTCGGAAAAAAATCAGTCTGCTGGAAACCCGGCAACGGACACGAAAAGGCTGAGGCTGAGCCTGCTCTGGTCCATGCAACGAACACAGCAGTGCCCCCACCGCAGTCGGTACGCACTTATCATCACGTATGACTGCTGTGTCACCCAACGTTTCACCCGGTAGCCGAATGATGCCCACGAACGCCAGTCAAGAGGAGCACATTTATCGTGTTGTGGGAGTTAGTTGCTCGAGTATGCCGGGACAACATACCCCCCAGCCTGCGACAGCTACGGCTACACTATTCAGTACGCTTGCCGACGAAACGCTGCGCTCTACATACAATCCACCACAGCTGCCGGAGAAGCAACGACGTCGTTCTTCGGTGCTGGTCACCCTAAATGTCGGGAAAAGTTGAGGCCGGATCTGATCATAGCACCAGGCTCTGGTACGTACTAAGCACGCAACGCTCGGTGCTCTGCGTTCGTGTATAATCCTACCGCCGCCCTCGATCGATGCCCACGCCGGATGTAAATCAAGGAACCATCCGTCGGGACGTCTTGGAAAAGAACCCGTTGTAGTCCAGCCGCGCGCAGAGGTTGTTCAGGTGGGAGTGATACTGGAAACAAAAAAAATGATTGGGTGTGGAGGGGGTCAGAGCGAAGAGCGCGATAGCGATAACCGTGAGGAAAACACAAGTCGTTCGTGGTTACGCGGTGCTGGGTCGCATGCTGCGGTTGTCATGATAAAAACGCTGTTCTTGACCTCTATCGAGTACCCCTCGGCAATGACGTATGCTGCCGTCCTCACCAATTGTACAAGACCCAAAAGAAAGGTGCCGACTACGTTGTGTGAATACTCTAAAAGGCTTATGTTGCATGCGTGCGAATATGCCACGATACGGACAAGAATGTGTGAGGCCGTGCAAGAGCGCGCTCGAGCAATTAGAGAGACAAAAAAAAAAAAAAAACACAACGGGAGACGTAACAGAAGACCACAACAGATAACCACAACGGGAGACGTAACAGAAGACCACAACAGATAACCGCCACAGCGGCCAACAGACGTATACGGGCTGCCACATAACAAGGCACCAGAGTACAGAGACACAGAAATGATCCAGAGGTTGGACGAGTGAGACACCCCACGAGCGACTCACGTGCCCCTCAGCGTCATGCCACAGATGACTTGCGAACACCTGCAGGCTAGCGTCAAACCCCTCCTGCGACCGCTGGATGTACTCCTTATACCTCTTTGTGTCTAGCGCGGAGCGCATGGAACTGTTCCGCGATGCGAGAGGCGTCCCCCGAACACCCATGCACAAAAACGAAAATACGCCCCCGTGGGGGGGGGGGGGGGGCATTCTTGACAAGAGGCGGTCAGTGGGTCCGTGGACGTGAAAAAAACAAGAATAGTGACTGTATGTTTGGAAGATTCGGGGAGTACTGGCGGCCAAGAGGGTGGGGAATTCGAAAACAACTTCATTAGTTAATTAGGCACCAACTAAGCCCGGCGACTACGGCAAGATACCTAATTGCTTCACCGAGCGCGCTGGCGTAAGAGTCTCCGGTACCAAATAACGCCAACATAACAAACACTACAACAGTATTCGCCATCACAAACGACACAACAAGCGTTGGCCAACACTTGTACAACTAACACTACAACAATATTCGCCATCACAAACGAGACACAACGAGCGTTGGCCAACACTTGTACAACCAACACTACAACAGTATTCGCCATCACAAACGACACAACGAGAGTTTCATCGGTCTGGTCTTCTCCCTATGGACGTGCACCTAGAGCGTCGCTTCAAGTTTTCGATTCTTCTACTGCCGCTGAGGCTTCTTCTCGGCCCGAGTCCCGCGCTTTGCACGCCTGTTTGCAGAGGGATGGCAACAACAAAGGGGCAAGAACGGCCAGGCAAATGGGGCGCAGACAGCGGTGTGTGAGGCAAGGCTTGAAGTATGGGCAAACCATGCTCCGCCGCTTGTGTCTTTCTTGCTTAACCTGCAGCAAAACAAAGATACCTATCAACCCGGACAAAATAACCTCCCCCAGATACGAAATCGCTACAAAACGTCGCTGACGTGTTTACGTATTTCGAAGACGCACACGACCGTTGCTATTGCGTCCCTACAACTGAAAAACAAAACAAAAACAACAAGAACAGAACACACCCTACCTACCTGTGGTGTGTGAAAGCCCTGAAAAGAGAGGTTATTCCGTCCCCAGAACCGAATACTAGAACAAAGCCACCTTTATACTTCATAAGTATCATCCCCCCTGCGAAGAGTGAACGATAGACAAAAAAGTAACACGTCACTTACTGGCAGTTCCCGATCCCACCGATGACCGCCGCCGTTGCAGGAGTTCCGCCGCCTTTTCTTGCTTGTCTTCCTCCTTCTCCCTTTCTCTGTCGGCGGCCTCCTGGGCCTCTCTCTCGGCTGCGAAAACACCTCCCTGGTCTCCGAAGTGTAGGCAGCTGATCATCACCCTCGTCAGGGACTGGGACGAAAACAAGAGGAACGGGGTGAATGGAAAATGGGTGGATGAAGACTGATGAACAAAGTTGGCTGGATGGAAATGGGTGAATGAAATGGGTTGAGATAATGGAACAGGGTGAACGAAAAATGGGTGAATGAAAATGGTTGAATGACAGTGGGTGAATGAAAATGTGAATGAAAAGGGAGAGAATGTGCACAGGGTGAACGGAGATAAGTGAAAGGGAATGGGTGACAATGGAATGGGTGAATGTAGAATGGGTGAATGAACACGGGCGAATGAAAATGGGCGAATGAAAATGGGTGAACGAAAATGGATGAACAAATTGGTTGAGAATGGAAAAGGGAGAATGAAAAGGAAGGGAAAGGGAGTGGGTGAACGGAAATGAGTGAAAGAGAATGATTGACAACGGAGAGTGTGAATGAAAAATGGTTGAATGAAAATAGGTGAAAAATGTGTGAAAGAAAAATGAGGGAAATAATGGGCGATAAATGGAAATGGGTGAATGAAGATGGGCGAATGAAAATGTGTGAACGAAAATGGGCGAATGAAAATGGGCGAATGAAAATGTGTGAAAAAAAATGTGTGAATGAAGGCAGTCAATCTCTCATTGCCTTCTCACCAGACGATCTCGCATCACAACAACACAACCGCCGCACGAGTAGAAACGCAACCCCTGAGCCCGCACACTCGCACACGCAGCAAGTCGTCGTCACGCATCTCTGTGAGATACCGCCGGGCTTGTACCTTCGGGAAGGTACAGTACCACGCCAGACAACATTACTGTACCTTCAGGAGGCCGATGTTCGTGAGGAGACATTCCTTCAGGCAAAGGTCCTGGAACTGCTCGTGCCGTCGGAGAACGTCGTCCAAAGTTCCGGTCTCCCCTTCGTCCCTGCCGCGTCTGCCGCCGCCGCTGCCGCCGCCGGCCTGCGGCCATTCCCGCACCTTGAGGCCGCAAAGCTTCTTGAGGTCGTCCATGAAGTGGTGCCAATGCGGCTCGATCACCTGCGGGTAAAGAGTGGGAGGACCAGCGCTTTGAATTGAAGTGTGTAGTTAAGATGTCATGGTGAACCACATGCGTAGGGCGGCGGGGGCAGCGGCGGCGGCGTATTGGGAGAGATGGCCAAGGGATGGCGTGAGAGAGGGTTGTGGGAAGACAAAAATGTATTGCACGAATTTGTGTACCGTAGAGATGGTGTTAAGAGTGGGTTTCCAGCAGCGTTCTTGGATGTCTGCACGCTTCTAGAGGCGGCGACCAAAACGATGGGCAGATTCCACCACGAGTATTCAGTTCATCGCGAAAGGCTGGGTGAGCACCCCCCATGCGGCGTCCCCCCGCGTGCGCCAGTGCCGCGCCGCACCTCTAGCGGGATGAACAAGCAAACCGATCCACGCTACGAGTAACGTATCGCCTCTTCCGGCCTTCTCACCTCGACCATCATGTAGTACACCAGGTTCTGCATGAAGTGGAGCATGCGGTGGCGCAACTGGTACGAGGCCATCATGAGCCCCTTCAGCTCCAGCTGTTTCGTGTCCTGATGAACAGAAAGAAAAAAAAAAACGGCGAGTGTGTCGAGATCGGGTCGAAAGCACACGATGGTTGAAAATGGTCGATGGTTGACAACGCGATGCCTGAAACCAAAACGACGGCAGCGGTGCCGTGATGTGGAGAATTACGGCGAGAACCCCTCAAAGATTCAACCTTGCGGCGACAAATAAGGTCAATATAGCATCGCCATCATCAGCAGCGAATAGATTTTCCATGCGCCCTCCTTCGTGCACATCTATCTATCTTCGTGCACATCTATCTGTCTTAACGCACACGCGAGAAAACACAAATACAGCACGGGTCATGAATTCAGGGATCAGATGCGATTCTTCCGCGTCCCGTGCGTGTCAACATGCGCGCTGTTCCTCTGCACCGGTTTGTCATGTTGTAAATATCGAAAAACATCTGGCATTTATTGTCTCTCTCACTCCCTTCACCTGGTGTTCTCTCCAGCTGTCCTTGGACAGCAGCCTCTGGACGTGCTTGGCGAAGAACAGGTGCCTGAAAAGGAGCTGGTACTTGGTCAGGCTCTTCTTGGACAGCACCAGCGAAACCGGCCACCCGACCTTGAAGGACATCATCAGCCCCTCCACGCCTCGCAGCTCCTGAGGAGATCACAACCCGCAGGACACACAGACACACACGCACGCCATTTGCGGGTTTCCACAAGGTGACGGCATGGCGCATGTTGCGGGTCACGGGTCATCCAAGCGACGTGTCGTTACCACCACCACAACTCGCCCGTAGCGGCTTCAAACTCGGCGACGAAACGGGACGGTGAAAAACCAGCTGGGGCGGAAACATGTTAGTCAGGTGCAAGACCGGCGTTCGCATGCTACCCTCCCTTATGTCGAGAAACCTTGCCATGACACAGAGCTACAACCCATCCCGGAGGGGGAGGGTGGGAGGGGGATCACGCATGCGTAGCCCCGCAGTCTACGTCAGGCCCGACCACTATACCAGACCCCTCGGGGTAAGAGGAAACAATCTCTCAACACCAACACCCCCCACCGCCGTTCCCTGGATGATCCGTTCCGCGTACTCCGCACCGCCCTCCCTCTCCGCCCCCGAAGGGGATGGCATTGCGGACGCCGCAATCGCTGCCGCTGCCGCTGCCGCTGCCGCTGCCGACGCCTTCGCCCGACCTCCCAGAGCATCGGGGTCTCCCGAACCGCCATGGCCGTGGATCATTTCTTGTTGAGTTGAGGGGGGTACGGGATGCTGAAGTTGGTTCGTTGCACCAGCACACTACTAAAATTTCACCGTTTTCCGAAGGGATGGGCCGCATCGGAACAAATCTTCACAAACCCTGCCTGGTTTGAAAACGCGAAAGGGTTCAATCCCGCCGCTGCTAGCGCTGCTGGTTGTTGCTACTTGCTAGTCCAGGCTGGTACAACAGGGTGGGTGGCGTCAAGGCATTTACCTACCACGGGAATAACAAGAGGATTGACACCAACCATCGGACACAAACACACATCGCCCTTGCACGCAACAGGCTGGTCGAACAAAAAAAAGTGGATCGCTATCAACCCTACCACCAACCCGTTGAAAAAACGCCACATTGGGAGACCCGGGTACATGACGGTTGGACACCCCCTCCCCTCAAAACTACCTACCAACCCCCCTCACCGAGTTGCTTGAGAAGATTCCGGCCGGCGAACTCTAGTCCCAAGTCATCCTTGAACGGGTCTTGCGAGGCCGAGCTCATCTGGCACCGATAGGTGCAGCAGCGACTCCAATCGGGGGACGGATATCTGTGCCAGGAGGAATGGCATGAGGGGGGGGGGGGGGGGCGTACTCTTGTGTTTTTCATGTCCTTGGTTGTTAGACCATGCAACATGCGTCCTCGAGAGGACGGAGTATTGTTCCCGTGGGCCAAAGGTGGCTCAAAAATAGAGGGGGGGGGGTAAGGGACTTCTTGGCTCATAGGAAACTACTCCAGACACACCACGAACAACGCTGATGCAGCAGTGGGCAGCAACTAACACCACCGTTTTCTTCTGCCAACCTGAGCCCAACAAACCCACCAACCACTTTTGGCACATGGACACTGCCGCTATCACCCACCACCATATGTCAAACCGTTCGAGTCGCTTCCACTACGACCAAAACCGTTACCAACAACAGCAAAACACTGCTGACGTATCATACCTGCGGGACACCCACACCTCAACCACCATTTTGCTTTCCAGCCTGAGCCCAACAACCCCGCCGATCACCTTGCCACGACGTCACTACCACTACCACCCACCACTACCTTCTGCACAAGGAGCTTCCACCACATCAACGCCACCAAACAATAGCAAAGCGCTGCCGAAATATGTACCTGCGGGATAACCACTACCACCAACACCCGCCACTATCTTCGACACATCGTCACACCGTCGGTCCCACCACCAGCAACAACAAAAAAAAACGCTGGTGACACACGTATTATCGTACCTGGGGTATAACCTTGTCCAGTTCTGTCTCGGCGCAGTCAAGCAAGTGCTCGAAGAAGTCTCCCCTGTCCAGCAGAAAGTAGTGCTTGATCGACTCCAGCCGAGGGAGGAGTTGGCCCTGTTCGCATCCATCCATCATTTCGTCACACGCGGAGGACCCCACCAAAAAAGCACAAACAATAGGCGTCACTGCCAAAGAAAGGAATCCCCTCCCCCTCGCCGACCATGTGTGCCCTTAAACGACGGTTTGAACGGTACAGTAGACGCTGTGAAGGCTACACCGCAGAACGGGCCCGTAGTAAAAATAAGGAGTATTTCGTTAAGAAATAGAGGCTCAAGTTTTCACGAAAAATCAGAAAACTGGTCCAAGAAACATAGCTCAGCGGTGGATCCTACACTAAACTCCATATAATGAAATAGATACCGACACTCGACGGTGGTAACGAAAAAGAAATTGAGTCTCGACCCATTTGTTTACTGAACGAAGCAGATGAATCACACCAGGATTGGAAAAAAAAAAAGAAGCAAAATGCATTTTCACTCCAAGAGCCCAGCGAAACTCAACGAACTAGAAAGAACAATCTATGTCTCCACACAAATCTACACACAGCAGCCTCATGAATGTAGCTTTGCAAGCCCCACCCACCTCTCTTACGACGAGGTGCATGAGGCAGCGAGAGGCGAAGCCGTAAGCGCCGTCGATGACCTTTAAGTATAGACCCTCGCCCGCGGCTCCGGGGTCAGCGGGGATGGGGCCGGCCAGGGGACAGTCCACTCGTCGCCCGCACTCCCTGTTACCGTTACAGCAGTCGTCCATGCGATTGTTGTTGTTGTTGTAGTTGTTGTTGTTGTTGTTGTCGTATACAGCCTTGCAGATTTGTTTTAAATAGTGAGGCGAGAGCTTGTTTGTTGTGTTGTCGATGCGACTGTTGTTATTGTTGTCGTTGTTTGGTGTTCTCATTGTTGCATAGAGGGTGTGCCAGCTTTTGGTGGTTGTAGCCTTGTATACTTGGTTGACGTGAGGATGTGAGGGGGGGCAATCAATGCATCAAGCTGTCTTTGGTCGACAGGAACTCGCTTGACAAAGCCGAGAAAACCATTCGTTCGTCCCTTTTTTGAGAATATCCGGGTATTAATCCGACTGGAGTGGCCTAGCCACCATGAGTAGATCGGTTGTCAACAAATCTATCCAACGTCTACACATTTTTTCGGCCTACCTTATCTCGCCTGATAAACGCTGAGGTACTCTACCTTCCGTTGGTGAGCAAACTCGTCTGACAACGGTGAGGTATTTTTCGGTGTAGAGTATCTCGTGTACGGCTAACTTGCCTGGCAACGTTGAGGTACAATATGGTGCCTGACAACGTCGAGGAATAATCTGGTGTAGAAGTATCTTGTGTACGATGCCTTGCCTGATAACGTTGGGGTGGTGCCTGACAACGTTGAGGAATAATCTGGTGCAGAATATCTCGTGTACGGTCACTTTCCCGACAACGTTGAGGAATAATGTGGTGCCTGACAACCCTTGACGAGTAGCCTGGTGGTGAGTATGTTGTGTACGGTAACGATGACTTGCCTGACAACGTTGAGGTATTTTCCGGTGGTGAGAATCTTGTCTTGTCGGCCGGCCAGGTTGGCGATGACGTGCTCCGGCCGCAGGAGGTAACGCCCGGACCAGTAGCGTGTGTTGAAGTCCTGATAGGAGATAGAGGGGGAAAGGGAAAGGGGGAGAGAGATAGAAAAGAGGAGGTATCTTTACCAGTCAACCACAACACAAGAGGCCGAGACACCGCACAGAAGATCTTGCTCGTTCTCTCTTTCCTTCGGCCTCTATCTCTCTCTCTCTCTCTCTCTCTCTCTCTCTCCTTCGGTCTCAACCTCTTTCTCTCTTCTGGTACACACGGCAGTTACACAGCAGTGCCACAGTAAGGCAAGTGAAGTAACGCAGAGCAGCTATGCATACGACAGTTACACACCTGCCCGACGTCCTGCTTGTGCACGTCCTCCGCCTGCTCGATCATGAACTCCCCTGCACACGGGGAGGGGTGTCGCCAGACAAAAGAACAAAACGTACGCCAAAGCCGAAAGGGACGAGTCGTGGGCGGGGGGCTTATCCTCGGTGAGATGCAAAACGCCTCTCTCCGTCAATCGGGACAAAAAAAGTCGACATCATGGAAGGGCGACGGGTGCTTGGAACCGCCGGTAACAAAGCAAGAAGCGAGCAGAAGGAAGTCGATTCCGTTCCCCTCCATGGGAGCGGAACGAGAATAATAGATGGTAGCGCAACACTGAACACGAAAATTAGCCGGGTCGCGCTCCAGCACCGACATGTGTACGTTGATGCATCTATATAGCAGCAAAAAAAAACCGTACACACACAATTTACCTCTGGTGTCAGTACGCCTCACCCTAACCCTATCCTTCACCCCCATCGACACCTACGGTCAGACAACGCGAAAAAGCCAGGAGAAAATCCCAACTCCTCCCTCCTTTCCGTCCTTCAATGCTCCCACTCTCAAACGCACCGTCGTTAACCTCCACCGCGATCACTACTCCCCCTCCTCCCCCCCCCCCCTCACTCTTATTTGCTTTCTTTCTCTCTGTTTCTCTCCCGTCCTCTCCTCTCTCCCTCCCTCCCTACTTCCACTCTCTCTGTCAATGCCTCTCTCTTGCTCTCGCTCTTTCTCTCTCTCTCTCTCACCGTACTGATCGTTCAGGTTGCCGTGGTAGATCCAGATCTCCAGCATCTCCAAGTACGGCACGCTCGCCTTCGTGCAGACAAGAAATCCAGCACACACGTCACAATGGACCCCCCAGCCACAAAAGCCGCCAAGGGGGGGCACGCAGACACGAAAGACGGGGGGGGGGGGGTTCGCGGAAGCCGTACTTCAGTTCATACGCGTGTCCACCTCCATGAAAACAAACTAAAAGCATTTTCTGAATCGATTAGGTGCTACCTAATCAGGAGTACCTCTGTACGATCGAATGTAAACTTCCTGTTTGGCGCATTGAGGACCAGGCAGCATTCTCCTTTTAGGATGGGGGGGGGGTCAACCTCCCCTACTTCTTGACAACCGCAAAAGAGTCGGAGAGATGCCCCCCCCCTAGACCGATCGTCAAGCCTCGATTGCTCCACAACCAGCATTGTGCCAACACCCAAAAATGGTGGTCTTTTGGAAACATCCTGTCGGCGGCTTTTGGTAGGGTCCTCGGGCTCTTTCCGCTAACCCCTTGGCTGTGGAACAATCGAGCCTTGAATGGGGGGGGGTGGAATCTCCCCGCCTCATACGGTAAACACGAACATGTCTTCTCGCCTCTCGGCACGCACCGCCACCACCACTTGAGAGTAGCCGTTCGTCATCAACGGGGAAGGGGCGGCGGCAACCATCCGCACAACCAAGCAAGAAGTTGCCACTTGTCGGCGAAAGGCCTACTAGCGATCACTGCTGCTGGTTGCATCATGGAAGCAAAGTCCACTATTTAGTTGGGCAGGCCAGGAGGCCGCAAGGCGACAACCCGACTGCCGTTGTTGGCAAAAATTACGGCCAGATCTGCCGGCGAACAAGTTCGTGGGTACAGCAGTAGCTTCCCTTCTCCGAGAAGGCAGTTCTTCATGATGCAAAATAACATCCCCACACAGGATACCCCCCCCCCCCCCCCCACAGCACACCGCACCCGGGGATGATCCTTTTGAAGCCCAACATGAGCCCAAAACGTAAAATGACCCTCAGATCAAGGAACAGGGTCACCGAAGACACCATACCCCACACGGAATAACACCCCCGGTGGTATTATCCACATCAACTGCAGCAGCAGCACCACCACCACCACCAACAACAGCAGCAGCAGCAGCATTAGCAGCAGCAACAGACAACAACGACACACCTGATGCAAAAGGAACGTGTACAGCTGCCTCGACGCCTCGTCCCCCCCGCCACCCGTCCCGCCCAGCGCCCTCAGCCGCCGAAGCATCTCCCCACCCTTGCTGTCCCTAAGCTCCACCGTCAACGCCTCCAGCGACTCCATCGTCCGCATCGACGGCTGTACGTAGAACCAAAGCCGTTGGAGCGACAGCTTCCCCTGGGAGGTTGTTGTTTTCCATCACAAGAGGGGTACGGCGGTTGGGTGGGGGGAGGGTGCTCATGTCTTGTATTCCGTAGTGGTTAGACCATTCGGGGGGTAGTCACGAATATTATTCCCGTAGTGAGTCGGCCATGAAAGGGGGCGTATAATTGTCGCCTTGCCTTGGTCATTGTGTGCAATGAAGCTGGTGAAGCAAGGGACGAATTCCCGCTGTAGGCGAACCTTCGGCCTAGGACAAAAGGACACGGAACACGCAGCAGGGAGAACTAACCCCAACCTTCCTCCGGGTGGGCACCTACCTGCAAGAGCTGGCTCTCCAGCTGTGCAACCAGCACGAGGTACTCTCGGAGCAGCCGCTGCACTCCCGCGGCAAGCGCGTGCGCCACCTTCCCAAACTCGTACTGCGCTCGCTCGGATGCGAATCGGTTCACCCGGACGTAGTTGTTGCAGAGAGGCAAAACCCTGAATTGACATTTACGCCAAGGGAAGGGGGGGGGGGGGAGCTTAGGTCGCTAAGACAAACAACAGGTTGCTGCGAAGTCTGAGAGAGCATCTCTGCAGCTCTCAGCGGACTTTCAGCTTGCCCCCCCCGACGGGCCAATCCACGCCTTGGTGATGCTGAAGCTGGGCTAACTACATGCAGCGGTAGGGAACACCCGGGCTGGGCGTTTCTAGACCTTGGGGTAAGGTCTTAACCCTTGAGATTCAACAGCTCCGTCCAACGACAGGCCAATCCAGGTCTGGCCTCCGACGTTCGTGTGTCCAGGTATCTCTATGTTGTTGGTGTTGTGGTTGTTGATTTTGATGTTTTATGTTGCTTGTGATGTTGGTGCTTCTTATTGTTGTTGTTAACGTTTGAAGGTACAAACTACATGTAATACTAGTAGGTATCAAACTCACCTCTCGGCGAGATAGGCCAGGGACTGATCGATCGAATCTCCAACGTTCACGGCGAACTCCAGATCGTACAGGGAGGCCGGAGGAGCGGCTGCCTCGCCTTGGCCCCCGCTGCCGCTGCCGCCGACGCCCTTGACCACAATGTAGCTAGCGGATGGGTGGGTGCACAGACAGAGAGAGGCGAAAAAGAGGGATATATAGCACCGGAACAAAAATGAAAAATATGGCCTCGACAAACGATGGCCAAATGCCCAAAAAAAAGAGATAGGCGGTGAGAGGATAAACATGGGTACGAGCCATCCATTGGAGTTTACTGGGAGGGACAGACTTAGAGCAAGAGAAAAGAGGGATGGGTTACTGGACGACCAGCGAGCGGGAAGAGTAGCGGAGAGCAGATGACATGAAAAAGGAGGTCGCGAGAGGAGAACGCATGAAGTGCTCCCATTCACAAAAAAACGCGCACAGCACCGAACCACACCATCACCACCCCATTCAGAGCACAGAATGGTACACACCGAATGGGTGCGAGAGAGGGCGCGGGACTTGTAAATGGTTTCGTGCTTGGCTTTTTATCGCACGGGGGTGCGATATCGCCGGTACGTGCGATATCACCGATCCCCGTCACACCCTTACAACAACCAATTGCTCCCGTACAACTCTGTCCTCTCCATTCCCTTGCGTATAACCCGTCCCCGCATTTATAACCTTATCTCCTTTCGTTTCCCGATTGTACAACCGTTTCCCGTAGGTGTAACCCGTTTCCCGTATGTATCACCATATCCCCTCTGCTGTATATCCGTTTCCCCAATATACAACCAAATCGTGAAAAAAAGGCGCCGCACCTTCCCGCAAATCCCATCATCGCGTACAGCAGGTCGTCCAGCAACAGCTGCTCCTGCATGGCCTCCGGCAGGGCTTCCGCAACCCCACCTCCACCCTGTCGCCCCCACCCCGCCCCTTCCCCTCTCGATCGCTGCAGCTCGGCACCGCCGCCGCCGCCGCTTCGGCGATGGTCGTAGTCGATCACCACGCCGTCCCCCGGCTCGATGCCGAAGAGCTTCGCCACCGCCCGCGAAGGTGCCTTCGGGGGCGGCGCCAACAGGAAGTCGCGAGTTAGGTAGGACCTGCGGTAGTGAGGGGGGGGGGGGGTTGCGGAGTGACAATAAGGTGGTAAGGGGGGGGGGGGGGGGCCTTTAAGGGTGGGGGTAACTACAATTTTCCAAAAGGGGACCCAAGGAAACCGCTTTTGGAAAAATTGAACCCAAAACCCTTAAACCCCCACCCCGGGGGTGAAAACGCCCCCCCCCAAGCCCCCTGGCCAA